CGGGCGGCGGCGGCTGCGGGACGATGGGCTGCGCACCTGCACCTCCGCCGAGCAGGTGCCGGGGGCTGCGCTGTGCAGCGTGGGGTGCCGGGGCGGCGGCGTGCGGGGTGCCGGGCTGCCGCGGGGCTGAGCTTCGGGCTGCCAGGGAAGGGCGGTTCAGGGTGCCGGGCGGCTCTGGGCCGGGGCTCGGGGGTGCCGTGGGAGTGGGTGATCCCGATCCCGGTATCCCCACAGCCCCTCTGACAGCAGCCCAGCGGTGAGCAGTGTTGTGGGGGCACGGCAGCCGGGGGAGGGTGAGGGCTCCCGGGGCAGCCAGCCTCTCCCCTCCATCCCTGTGTCCTGGCCCAGCCCCTGGCAGCTCCCCTGGGTGCTGGGACGGGGTAAAAAGCGACTCCGGGTTTCCCAATCCTCGGGGTTCTTCTTGCTCAATTGTGCCCTGGCAGGGCCATGAATGCGGCCCCTCCTCACCCCTGAGGCTGATCCCGGGGTATTTCCTTGGGGATTACCGTGGCTTAGAGTGTCCAAGTCCGCAGTTATCCCAGCGTGAGCGGGAGGAGAGTGTTTTCTGTGACAGTCTTGTGCTGAACCAAACTCAAGCTGGATTTGTAGAGCAGCTCGGGATGGTGCTGGATTCTGGCATAATTTGGGGCACAAAGCTCCTGGGAATTCCTGCTTTGGTTTTACTGGGTGAGATGGGGCTGTGAATCAGATGAACCCCTGGGATGAGGTGGAAGTTGCGGGGCTCAGTGTGGATCGTGTTTGGGATGTGTGGAGCCTCTTCCCAGAGCTCACCATAGTCTTTATTCCCTTTTTTCATGACAAGTCCAAGGTGGAGGACATTGTGCAGGAGGTCTATGATGCCTACAAGACAAACCATCACTCCTCACAGTGAGTGTCAAAACTCCCAATAACCACAAATAACTCCTATCCCAAAAGACCCATTGACCCTGGTGGGTGCTGCAGGAGGATTCTGCCCCTCCTGCCACTGTCCCCTGCTTTTTCAGGCCACCCTGCCTGCTCATCCTGCCCTCTCTGTATTCCAGGTACGTCCTGCAGCGGGAGAAGCACTTCCATTACCTGAAGAGAGGTCTCCGGCAGCTCACTGAAGCCTATGAGGTACCGGGAATGCCGGATGTGCCACCTGGAGCCACTGCCTGGGGGGGATCCCCTCGCCCTGGCGCTGTCACCAGGGCTGTTTGTTGCCGGGGGTTTGCCAGCCCCAGAGTGCACACAGCATTCCCTGTGTGCCCACGCTCATCCCAGCGATGCTCTGGGGGTTCTTCTGGCCTGCCTGCTCCTGCCGTGTCCAGTGCCGTTCCCTGACAGTCCCCTCTGTCCCTGCAGTGTCTGGATGCCAGCCGCCCCTGGCTCTGCTACTGGATCCTGCACAGCCTGGAGCTGCTGGACGAGCCCATTCCCGATTCCGTGGCCTCTGAGTAAGTGGGGAGAGCTGGGGGGACCCCACCGTGGCCGCTGTCGCTGCCGGCCGCCCGCGTGACTCCGGAGGTGCCACCTCCCGCCGTCCCCGGAGCAAAGGAGCGCTTTGTCTCCCTGCCACCGTCAATGCCGCCCATTCTTCCGGCGGCTTCCTCGTGACGACGGAGACGGGAGGGTGACACCCCCGGCTTCGACCTCGGGGGGGATTCACGGGGCTGGGAGGGGCTGCGCCACCCCAGCGGGGTCACACAGGTGATGCTGAGCCCCTTCCCCACCTTCCTGCAGCGTCTGCCAGTTCCTGAGGCGGTGCCAGAGCCCCCAGGGTGGATTTGGGGGGGGTCCCGGCCAGCACCCCCACCTGGCCCCCACCTACGCCGCGGTGAACGCGCTCTGCATCATCGGCACCGAGGAGGCCTTCGGCGTCATCGACAGGTCCGGGGCCCCGGGGGGCTGGGGGGAGCGGGGTGCGTGTCCCCCCTCTCACTGCCACTGGCTCCTGCAGGAAGAAGCTCCTGGAATACCTGCACTCGCTGAAGCAGCCGGATGGCTCCTTCCTCATGCACGTGGGTGGAGAGGTGGATGTCAGGTGGGTGAGGGCTGCGTGGGGAGGCTGTTTTGGGGGGCCTGGGCATTCTGGGGAGCCAGTGCTGGAAGCAGATGCTGGTGCCATTCTGCGGATTTGGTGCTGGGAGCTGGTGATGTTTGGGAGGCAGTATAGTTTTGGGGTGCTGGTGCGATGGTGGGGAGCCACTGCTAATTAGGGGTACAGTTTTGGGGAGTTAGTGCTACTTTTGGGGAGCAAATGCTGGGAGCTAGTGCCATTCTGAGGAGCCAGTGCCATGGCAGGGTGCAGTTTTGGGGAGCTGGTGGTGTTTTGGGGAGTGGCTGGTGCCACACTGGAGTACTAGTGCTGTTTGGGGGAGCCTGTGCCATAGGGAGGTGTAGTTTAGGGGAGCCAATGCTGTTTTGGGGTGCTGGTGCCATGGCAGGGGATCAGTGACAGGAGCTACTGCCATGGCAGGGTGCCGTCACAGGGAGCCAGTGCTGGATCAGCGACCTTGTGCTGTTTTGGGGAGCCAGTGTAATTTTAGGGAGCTGGTGCCACTTTGGGGTGCCAGTGCCACATCCCTGAGCACCTGTCTCCTGAATTTCTGGGCACCTTTCTCCCGCAGGAGCGCCTACTGCGCCGCCTCAGTGGCCTCGCTGACCAACATCCTGACGCCCGCGCTCTTCGCTGGCACGGCCGAGTGGATTGCCAGGTGAGATCTGGGGACAGGTGGGGGACAGGGGATGACATTCCTGGCGTGCCTGCTGCCCTGACCCTGCTCCCACAGGTGCCAGAACTGGGAGGGTGGGATTGGCGGCGTGCCGGGCATGGAGGCGCACGGTGGCTACACTTTCTGCGGCGTGGCCGCGCTGGTCATCCTCAAGCAGGAACATCTGCTGAACCTCCGGAGCCTGCTGGTGAGTGACCCCTCTCGGGATCCTGGGGCTCTCATCCTGCCGGGGAGCTTTGGTCCCACACTGGTTCCCATCACCCCGCAGCACTGGGTGACCGGGCGGCAGATGCGCTTCGAGGGCGGATTCCAGGGCCGCTGCAACAAGCTGGTGGATGGGTGCTACTCCTTTTGGCAAGCCGGGCTCCTGCCCCTGCTCCATCGGGCACTCCATGCCAGGGGTGAGTTGCCACAGGCTTCCTCTGTCCCCAGAATCTGGCATCTGGAGGGATTTGACACCTTCTGTGGTGTTTCTCCTCTGGGTTTCCCTTCCAGGCGATCCAGCGCTGAGCATGGCACACTGGATGTTTGACCAGCTGGCACTGCAGGAATACATTCTCCTGTGCTGCCAGTGCCCAGCTGGCGGGCTGCTGGATAAGCCAGGAAAGTGAGTGCGGGGGGAAACACAGGGCTGCCTGGCATCAGGGATGCCCAGATGCCCCCTCAGCATCCCAGCATCTCTTTGCGTGCAGATCCCGGGATTTCTACCACACCTGCTACTGTCTGAGTGGGTTGGCCATTGCACAGCACTTCGGAAGTGGAGATCTCCACAATGAGGTGGTCCTGGGTGTCCCTGAGAATTGCCTGGTAAGTGCTAGGCATTGCTGGGGAGGGCAGGAATGTGTTTCCAGTGCTCCACAGCACTGAGAAAGGCAGATCCAATGGCAGTGAAAAGAGTTGGGGTTCAGCCTGGAGAAGAGAAGACTTAGGGAGAACTTAGAGCTGCTTCAAGGGTAGAAAGAGCTTCAAGAGAGCTGGAGTGAGGCTTTGTCCAAGGGTTTGGAGTGATAGGACAAGGGGGAATGGCTCCAAACTGAAAAAGGGGAATTTTAGATGGGATATGGGCAAGAAATTCTTCCCTGTGAGGGTGCTGAGGCCTTGGCACAGGCTGCCCAGAGAAGCTGTGGCTGCCCCATCTCTGGAAGTGTCGCAGGCCAGGAAGGACCAGGCTTGGAGCAGCCTGGGATAGCAGAAATTCCCTGTGCACAGTGGGTTGGACTAGGTGATCCTTAAGGTCCTTTCCCCCCCAAACCATTCCAGGACTCCATGATTAAGATCCCCCACCCCTCTCTCTTCCCACAGCAGGCCACGCACCCTGTGTACAACATTGCCCCGGAGAAGGTGGTGAGGGCGGTGATGCACTTCCTGCAGTATCCTGTGCCCAGCCTGGATGTGGCACCCGCTGCCCAGTAGGGGGGTCCCGCTGCCGGCTCGGGCTGCGAGCGGCACAGCCCATCCCAGCGGCGGCCTGGCCAGGCAGAGCACGGTGCTCAGGGTGCTAGCAATACCAAAATCCAGCCTGCTCCAGGCCGGGTGTCCTGCTGCCATCCTGGCCCGAGCCGAGGTGGGACACGGGCTCCGGCAGAGCTTTTTGGCATCAATAAACCAGAAGTCACACCCGCCGTGTGCTGGTGGCCCCGGGGATGCGGGGCAGGAGGTGATGCCACGTCTGGATCCGGTGGCACCGACTTCCCCCCTTCCAAGAACACACGGTAACCACGGGGGAAGATAAAATAAGTGGAATTTTGGCTTTTTTTGTTTATTATTTATAGTCTTATAGTAAAGGGAAGCCTTAACTTGCAAGACAACTCTGGGCAGTATGTACAACATACCTTAGATCCATGGAATGGCATCAAAATGGGGGGAAAAGGGGCACCTACGGGGCAGGGACGGGCCACTGGAGTTTCGAAAATGCCACGGAGGTTGGGAAGGGTCAAGGGAGGGAAGGAGGAGGAGGAGTGGGGAAGGAGCCCCCAAGCCTGGCTCTGTGCTCCGCCGACTCGGGCAGGTGGAGTTGCACACGGAGAAAATAAATAGGGAGATCCCCCCCCAGTGCTTGCTCCTTTTTTGGGGGGGGCTGCCTGGCTCCTCCCCGTTCTGGACTGCACTGGTCCCCGGGTATAAATAGAAATGCTCCTATAAAACCAGGAGGGAAGGGGAGGGGGGTCGCTAGCGGAGGGGAGTTGGCGGGGGAGTCTCCCTGACCCCCCCAAGTCTTTCTGCTCGGCCTGGCCGGCTCCCCCCGGGGCCGGCGCGGTGGGAGCAGGGAAGGGGCCAGGGAGGGCTGGGAAGCTGCAGTCCAAGAGCTTCTAGGAGCGGAGGGAGCGAGTCCTGCCGCGGGCCGGGGGGCGGCGGAGGGGCCTAGCTGGCCTCCATGCGCAGCTTCTTCCTGTTCTGCGGCTCGTCGGGCTCCGAGTCGGAGCTGGAGTCGGAGCCGCCGTCGAAGGCGGAGATGGCACTGCCCTTGGGGTTGGTGTAGAGGCTGTTGTCCGCGGGGTAGCTGGCCTGGAGCTGGGCGCTGGCTCGGGCCTTCTCCAGCGCGCGCACTGTGAGGGACAGACGGCACCGTGTCACCCCGGGCCTGGCCCTGCCGGCAGCCCGGCTCCTGACAGGAGCCTGGATCCCAAACTCTCCCAGACCCCAGATCCTGCCAGACCCCAGCTCCCACTGAATTCTGGACCCTGCCAAACTCTGGTCCTGCCAGCTCCCACCAGATCCCAACTCCCAGTGGATCTCAGCTTCCACCAGATCCTGCATTCTGATGGATCACATCACCTGCCAGACCCCAGCCTCCACTGGATCTTGGATCCCAAACCCTACTGGATGCCAGATCCTGGCTCCCAAAGCCTGCCAGGCCCCAACTCCTGGATCTCAGCCCCTGCCAGACCCCATGTCCAGCCAGATCTCAGCTACCACCTTGCTGCTCCAGCAGCGCATTCTGCCGCTTGAGGTCGTCGATGTCCTGCTGGTGTGTGTGGTTTTTCCGGCGCATGTACTGGATGTACTCTGTGGCTTTGTCCAGGATTTGGGCCCGGGATGCCTGTTGCAATAGTGGGAAAAGCCAGAGGCAAGATAAAGACCTAGTCCAGGGAGGAGAACTGGAATTTTACCTGCCTCATCCCACCCTGGCTCTGCTCCTCACTGGGGACTCCTGTGGCACAACAGAGACTCGGGAATGTCCCAAAGTGAGGAGCCTGGACCACGGGTGGGTGCTGTCCATGCTCCCAGCACGCTCCATAAACTCACCTTCTCTCCTTGGAGCGAGGGCACGGAATCCCGCAGGCTGTGGAAGCTGTCCTTGATGTGGTCCCTGCGCTTGCGCTCCAGCGCGTTGTGATGAGCCCGTTTATCGGCCTGGGAGTGGGGGACAGGGGTGGCACCGGGAGGAGGCCACCACCTGCACCCCCAAAATTCCCTCTGGGAATCGCTGCGGGAGCTCAGCTGAGCGCCCAGGGCGGCTCCGTGGCCGTGACGCCTCCGGCTGGGCCGCGAGGGCGTGGGAAGGAGGCGGCTCCCGGTGCTTTCGGTTTCCCCAGCTTCCTGCTGCCGGGGCAGCTCCGGGCCCCGGGGTGGCTACAGCGCCTTCCCCCTGGAACACGGTCACCCTGCTCCCCAGCCAGCCAGGCACAAGCTCCCTCCGTGCCCTCTGTCAACCCCCGGTGTTGTTCCTCCTGTGCCCCCCAAAAGACTCGGCCCCACACGTAACGCCCCCCAACACCCCCGCTTTACCCCACGCCCCCTCCCCTAAAGAGCCCCGGATCCTCTTCCACGCAACCCCAAGCCCCACTGGTGTCTGCCCCCGTAAGACCACCCCTGCCACAGGACACCCCCAAACCCAGCTGCCCCCCCAAAAGACATGACTCCATGGATCCCCTTCTGTGTCACGAACCCCAAGCCAAATAAGACCACCAAGCCCAGAGGTGTCGCCTCCCCAAGCCCAACCCTCCTCCCCAAAAGACCCCCAACCCTACTGGTGTCCCCCCCTTCCAAGAACCCCATCCCCAAAGGGATCCCAAGCCCAAGATCCCCCCAAGCCCACATTTCTCCCCCAAGACCCCCATCCCCACAGATCCCTCTCCATGTCACAGCCCCTGTCCCAGAAGATCCCAGCCCCACAGACGTGTTCCCCTCAAAAGGACCCCCAACCCCACGGAACACCCCGATCCCCACAGGACCCGCCCAGGCTCCCCATTCCCGCAGCCCCCTCCCCAAATCCCGCCCCCCTCACACCCCCGCCCACGTGCTCCCGATCCCGGGGGCGCTGCGGGGCGGCCCCCAGCGACCTACCGCGGACTGAAACCTCGGCTGCTCCTCCTGAGGAGCCCCGACCCGGGCGAGGAGGAAGAGGAAGAAGATGGTGGGGGGGGGCGCCGCCATATGAAGGAAGAACACACACAAACCAAACATTACCCCCTTCCCAGAGCTCCTGATGTGGGGAAGAGCCACGGGGGGTTAGCCCAGGGATTGTCCCGGGGTTGGGGGCCCAACTCACGTCGCTCTCCACCTCGATGTCATCGTTGTCGCTCATCGCTCCCGCCCGGGTGAAGCCGCGGGCCGGGCCGCGCCGCCACAACAACAGCCCGCACCGCGCATGCGCGGAAGTCGGGATGGGGGGGGGGGGGTGTCAATGATGGCGCCGGGCGACGCGAACGGTTGCGGGAATTGTGGTTTGAGTGGGGAGATGGAGGCGTCTTCCACGTGGCGGAGACTACAACTCCCGGCGTGCATCGCGCGGGGCGGCGCGCGGCACGCCGGGAGCTGTAGTCTCCGCTTCGGGGAAGGGGACGCTGAGGGCGCGCGGCCGGAGGATGGAGGAGGTGAGGGCCAAGGCCATGGAGGGAGGGGGTTTATTGAAGGAAAATGGGGATGGGATAGGTCGGCAAGTCTGCGGGGCTGGCCTGGGGGGCTGGCGGCTGAGCTAGAAGGGCTCCGGGACAACCTAGGGGGGGCTGCAGGGTCTGTTTGGGGCGCGTGTGGGTCTGGTCTGAAGGGCTGGGCTGGTTTAGGAGGGTGTCCTCACAGGGTAGCCCTGTGAGGTCTGGATGCAGGCTAATACGAGAGTGCTGGGGGTCTGCAGGACATTGTGGGGGGCTGCAAGCCTTGCTAGAGGGTATGTGCATCTGCTCAGGGGTCTCTGGGCCTCACCTGGCGGGGCTTTGGCCAAATTTGGGAGGGCTGTGGATCTGCCTGGGGGGCGTGAGCCTTGTGTGAGGGGCTGGGGATTGGGGTGTGGGGGCTCTGGGGCTGGAATGGGAGCCTGCAGGTTTGACCTGAGTAACTACATCATAATTTGGGGGGCTATGGGTCTGCCTGGCCCAAATTGTGGTACCACAACTTGGGGGTCTCTGTACCGCAGTTTGGGGGCTGTAGATCAAGCTGGAGGCTGTGGACCTGACCTAGGGGGTCTGTCAGTCAGTGTGGGGGGATCTGGGCTGCCTGGGGGCATTAGGCTTAGCTTGGGGGGCTGCAAGCCTGACCTGAGGGGGTTTGCAGAATTTTGGGCCCACCTGGGGGGAGCTGTGGAACCCCCTCAGGTACCAAGAGCAGGATGGGGCCCAGGACAGGCTGTCCCTATCCCAGCTGTTCCCCATCCTCTTTTGGCAGCTCGTCCTGCCTGGTGGCCTCCGTTGGCTGCCTGTCATCATCCTCCTTGTCCCCGTCACCGTCAGAGCCAGTCTCATCCGAGTTGTCCTCCAGGTAGCGGTATCCACGTGTTTTGTGGCGCGGGCGCGGGATGCGGGGCAGCCGCACTTCCACGTTCCACGCCACCTTCTGCTCCATCCACAGGTATGTCCCCACCGCCACCACCAGCGTCAGCAGCATGATGGACAGCTTGGCCTGCGGCACATGGAGTGTGGGGATGGGCCTGGGGGTGTGTCCCCAAAGAGCCTGGGGTGTCTCAGAGTGGGCTGGGGCACGTCTGGGACTTGCCTTCATGGGCAGCCCCGACCACAGGTAGACGGTGAAGATGGCCAGGGCCTGCCACCAGTGGTAGATGGTGAAGATGAAGTCTTGGCGCTCCTTTTTCTTGTACAACATCCCCAGGAGAACTGTGGCAGAGACTGGAATCAGTTTTGCCCTTCCTGGGCCACGTCCCCTTGGCATGGGGGACAATCACAGTGAGTCTGTCCCATGGATCTGAGGACTGAGACCACAAACTCGTGGTGCCAGGGGACATGAGGAGAGGATGCGTGGAAAAACTTGGGACAACCCAGGCTATTTTGGGGACCACCAAGGCATTTTGGCAAGAACAGCAGCTGCTTCAGGACCTTCCCACTACTCACTGCTGATTCCAGTCTTGTTGAGGGCACTGCCTGTGCCCCAGAGCGCGGCGATGCTGTAGAGCAGCGGCGCCTGCGCCAGGTGCCGGGGCTCCGGCGCCCAGCAGAAGAGCGTCACCAGGAGCACAGCGTGGATGAAGGCCCCAGCCAGGAGCGGGGTGTGGCGGCGCAGGCGCAGCATGCACAGGGCCAGGCTGGAGCACAGCGAGGCGGAGAAGCCGTAGGCCATGAGGAGATACGCCAGCCTCTCCAGCCCGAGGGCGCACACGCCGTAGTTCTGCAGCGAGCACGGGCTCAGCGCCGCCTGTCCCCGCTCCGTCACCTCCCACCCCACCACACATCCTACCAGGGAGAATCCAGTGCAGACAAAGAGCACCTCGAAGCCGCTGTAGATGAACAACGGGAAGAGGTGCCGCAGGCGATAGTCCCGCATGTGCTTGAAGGGCAGCTGGAAGATGTTGCCCCAGCCGATGCTGCGCATGTCGATCTCCTCCATGGGCCGGTACGCCGCGCCACACAGCACCAGCACCTGCAGAGTCAGCTCAGGTCCTGCCATCGTCCAGCCCCTCCCCGTCCCCTCCCGCCGCGGCGCTCACCACCAGCATGGCGAGGAAGGCGGCGGCCATCAACGCGCTCTCCACGATGATGAGGCTGACGCTGCGCGGAAGGCTCTGCAGCACCGTCTTGTTGAAACCAGGCAGCGTGCCGTGGCTCAGGGTCCCTGCCAGGGGGGCACAGGCCGTGGTTAATCCCAAATGGGGGGGCTCCCGGTGCCGCCCCGCGCCCTGCCCGCAGCCTCACCGCAGTGCTTCACTGCAAAGAGCGTGTGGTTGAGTTGGTAGAGGTAGTTGTTGAGGAAGAAGACCATGGGCATCTGAGCGCAGACGAAGCTCAGCTAAAGGATGTAGAGGGGGGCACACTCAGTGCTGCTGGCGTGTTGCCCCGCCCATCCCAGCCACCCCACCGGGGCTCACGTGGAAGCAGGAGTAGAAGACGGTCTGGAAGATGATGATGTAGGCGTTGCAGGTGTCCCGCGGCGCCCGCTGCCTCTCCTTCTCCTTCTCCTGCTCCTCCTTGTAGTTAATGTACTCATAGTACTTCTGGGCCATCCTGCGTGGAGCAGTGGGTCAGCCGGCACCCCGTGCACACCCCACCCGCGCCCCGATGCCTACCGCATGATGTAGGTGCCCATGGAGGCCCAGAGGGGCACGATCACCATGCCAATGGCCACCGCGGAGGGCACCAGCGTGTAGTAGCGCTCCCAGTAGTTGCTGGAGACGAAGAGGGCGTAGATGCCGACCGCCAGGAACATGGCCCACTTGGTGCCAAAGAACCTGCCGGGGCAAGGAGCGGGTGGGTGGGTGGCCGTGCCAGGGAGCCGTGCTGGCCGGGAGCGCGGCGGGGCCGTACCTGATGAGGATGGGTGTGTAGAGCAGCGCCGCCACGGGTGTGACATTGATGCCCATCAGCACCTTGCGGTCGATGTCCTCCAACCGGATGTTGCTGTACTTCACCTCCCGGTAGGTCTCGTCATAGTGAAGGATCAGCTGCATCTGCAGCAGACCTGGTGGGGGGTCCAGGGGTGGTCACCCCATGGCCTGAACACCCCGAGTTCTTCTGGGGGTCCCTGGGATGTCCCATACCCAAGTAGACGCTGTAGGTGAGGGTGCCAGCCAGGCTGGCAGCCACCACGTTCTTGATGACACCGAGGCGCTTGCGGCGATAGTACTTCTGCTCCTCCTCCTCCTCATTGTAGTCAGGGTGGGCACCCACAAAATCATCCAGCTGTGGGTGATTCCAGCTGTCACCCTTGGGGATGGCCACCACGGGCCTGCTTCCCCCTCCACAGGTGTCCCTCTGGTCTCACCTGTGAATCTGTCCCCTCGGTGCCCAGCATGGCACTTGCCACTGTCTTGGCCCCATCCTGGCAGCCGTCAATGTCCTTCTCCATTGGTGCTTCTGGAGGGCTCTGGATGGTGTCAGGGTGGGAGGGACCCTGTTGGCACCTCAAGGCTTGCACCCATATGTTTTGCCTCCCTGTGACCTGCACACACAGACCTCATGCCCAGCACCCCCAGCCCTTTCACCACTGCATCCAGCACCGTGTACCCATGCACACGGCATCCCCAAGCCCTGAACCTCTGTGCTCTGCACTCCCAGATCATGCACTCGTGGTTGCACCCCTGTGTTCTGCGCCCCTACACCTTCAGATCCTGCACCCCCGAATCCCGTGCCCCCTACCCGGCTTTGCACTCCCCAGAACTGCACCTCCGGGCTCAGCACCCCAGCCTCCTGACAGCCCCCCCGCCCCGTCACACCGACCCCAGCCCTGCTTGCCCGTGCCGGAGCTCCTCGGGGCGGGGCGGGAGCTTCTTCCTCTTTCGGTTAGCACGGGCGGGACGGAGGTGGTTAAAGGGGCCGATCCCGGACCCCCCCGCCCGCTGCCGGACCCCCCGGTCCCTGCTGGGCTACCTGCGCTGCCCCCAGGGAATCTGGAGTCCAGCTGCACACTGGAATGGGGTAACATGGATCTGGGATGACAGGAAGCTCTGGGGAGGTGGAATGGAGCTGGGTCCCCTCTAACAGCCTCGTCCCTGCAGTGGGAACCCCTATGCAGGGCTGGTGAGCCACCTGCGGGCATCCTGGCTCTCTGGGAAGACGCGGCCCCTGGAATACCGCGTGGCACAGCTGGAGGCTCTGGGACGCTTCCTGGATGACAAGAAGCAGGAGATCCTGGAAGCCACTGAACTGGATATGGGCAAGGTAAGAGGGGCTGGGAATTGGGGGCTACTGGCATCACATCTTTGAAGTCCTTCATACTCCGTTGTCTGGGTATTGCATCCTTGTGGGGGTCTGGGCACAGGGGTGTCCCTTCCTTGGCATCCTGTTTCCTCCTTGATGTGCTCCCAGGCTGATGCATCTGTAAGTGCTGGATCCCTGCAGATCCAGGGAGAGTGGAGGGACCGTGCTGTTGATCCCATCCCTGGTGCCCTGAAACCAGGCAAAGGCCCTGTCAGTGAACTGCCAAGGTGGGAGTGTTTCACACTCTGATCTGCATCCTGGGGATCCATGTGACCTCCACATCCTGGGGTGCTCCTGGCCAGCCTGGCACGCCCAGGATTACTGGCATTATGCAATGTGCTGGCACTGCACATTCCTCCCAGGGCCTCCAAGGGACTGGTTTCACTGGCACGGTGGCATGGGCAGGGCTCTGGATATGGCTCAGGGTATTGTGGCATGCCAGGAGCTCCTGGATGATCTGCTGATGAAGCGGGAGCATCCACACTATGGATAATTCTAGTGGTTGCACCTCATCATCTCTAGAAGCATTCATGGCCAGGTTGGATGGGGCTTGGAGCAACCTGGGCTAGTGGAAGATGTCCCTGCCCATGATGGGATGGAATTGGATGAGCTTCAATGTCTCTTCCAACCCAAACCATTCCGAGATAATCCTCACCTCTTTCTTCGGCATCAGTGAAGGGGCCCATGCCCTCAGCAATGTCTTTCCACGTCCTGCCATCTCCCAAGGCTCCTAATTGCCTTGTTTGTTGGAGGCAAGGCCTTCTCCTTCAGCCAGGCCTTGATAGGCATCAGCGCTCTGAGTGTGTCCTAATCATCTTTCCTAATTACGCCTAATTAGATCCGGTTGTCCAGTAATGAGCTAGTTATGCAGCCGGGCCCTCATAGCTAGATGGACACTTCACCTGCTCTTACGTAGCTGAGGTGGTGTCTCACCCCCAGCGGTGCCGGTTCCTCTCTGGTGCTGATGATTGGTGGCACTTGGATGACCTCAGACTTAATGTCCTATCTCACAACCTTTGTATCCCATCAAAATTCGTAATGAACCATCATCTTCCTTATCCAGCTGATGCCATAGTCATGCTGGGCTGAGAACGGCCCCCCCATTGCTTCACTCCACTATCTCATGTGCCTGCTGAGCCCTCGTTTCCAAGAGGGTCCTCGCACCTCCTGGCAGCTGCATTTTGGGGACCTGAAGGTCTCTTGGTGGTGGAAGATCCTGGGAATCAGCAACCAGCCTTCCCAACCCCAAAGTGGTGTGGGGATGGGAGGAAGACTCCAATCCAGGGGTGGTTTTGGGTTGGAGGAGTCCAATATATGATGTTGCAGCACAGGAGCTTTGCTCCCCCTGCTCTCCACAGTCATGAAGGGGCTCCACTGAGCCTGCTGGGCTATGCCTGGAGCCTTCACACTTCTCCTGCAAGGATGATATGATCCCAATCTGTGCTCTGCAGCTATCAAGAGGACCCACTTCTCCATCACAAGGGGTTTAATTAAGCTGTGGTTCTTATTACTTCCCTTTAGTCAAGTCTTAAGGCTTTGACTAAACTTAAAACTAAGGTGCAGCTTTTGCCCACAGGCAGTGGAAGGCTGCTTGGGGCTTTGCTTCCAGCTTGAATACCCAAGTGGTAAGGATTCCTTCCACCAAGACCAGCTCTTCAGGAGCTGTGGTGACATTGCTTGGGTATCCCTTTGGCTTGGGGCTCTGTTGCCAGTTCACAGTGCTGAGCTCGGGAATTTGTTAAATACCATGAAAATGTTCAGTTTTGGTTTTTTGGGGTTTTTTTCCTTCTGGCCAAGTAACTATTTTTATAAAATTTCTGGGTCACTGATATTCCCCAGGAGTTACAGGTGATGGAAACTTCTGCTGAAGAGATCCTCCTGCTATTCATGTTTGGAAGAGGGGGGAGATGCCTTCTGGGGTGATGGGGTTGGTGTTGGAGTGATGGGGTCTGTGTTAGGGTGACAGGGTCAGTGATGGAGTCAGTGATGTGGTGATGTCTGTCCCCAGCCATCCTTTGAGGCTTTCTTCAGTGAGATCCTGCTCTGCAAGAATGAGCTCAACGTCACCCTCAACAACCTGTCCCACTGGATGAAGGATGAGTACGTGGACAAGAACCTGGTAAGAAGGAAGCTCTGGGGAAAGGGAAGTGGGGGAGAGGGATTGCTGGTGGGGAAGGCAGTGCTGAGGTCATGTTCTTCCTCGAAGGTGATGCAGCTGGACTCTGCCTTCATCCGCAAGGACCCCTACGGGGTGGTGCTCATCATAGCACCCTGGAATTACCCCATCCACCTCTTCCTGGTGCCCCTCATTGGGGCCATCGCTGCCGGTGAGCCCAAACTTCCAGTCCCCTGGCCTGGAAGTGCCAGGGTCTCCCCAGGGATCTCGTCCCCAGAAGGGCTGGCTGTCACCATGTCACTGTGCTGATGTCCTGTTCATCTTCCCCCAGGGAACTGTGCCATCATCAAACCCTCAGAGATCTCCAAGAACACAGAGAGGCTCGTTGCTGAGACACTGAGCTGTTACCTGGACAATGTGAGAAGCCCTTCTTGTCCTTGTCTGTTGTTCTTAGAGCATGATGTTCCCAATCCCGCCTCACACCCACCATCCCCACACACCATCTATGTGCAGAACCCCCTCCCTCCATCTTCAGCCAATGTCCCAGATTCCTGGGATGCTGTTGGTGGGGGCAGATGGTGATAAGAGGGGATTTTTTCTCTTTCCTTGCAGGACTGCTTTGCTGTGGTGACCGGCGGCGTGCCGGAGACCACCAGGCTGCTGGAGAACAAGTTTGACTACATCTTCTTCACTGGTACGTCCCACGGGACAGAGCAGAGCCCTGCCTGGATGTGGTGCCAGGATGTGTTGGAGGATCCGGGATGTGTATCTGAGGTCTGGTGGGACGCAGTGCCAGACCCCAGAGCCGTGTGATGGCTGGTGGGATTCCCACCTCAATCCATGTTTTCCCTGCCCGCAGGCAGTCCCCCGGTGGGGCGGATCGTGATGAAAGCTGCTGCCAAGCACCTGACACCGGTGACGCTGGAGCTGGGGGGCAAGAACCCCTGCTATGTGTCCGACACCTGTGACGTGACCAACGTGGCGCGGCGCGTGGTCTGGGGCCGCTTCTTCAACGCGGGCCAGACCTGCATCGCGCCCGACTACCTGCTCTGCACCTTAGAGATGCAGGAGAAGCTGCTCCCGGCCCTGCAAAAGGCCATCACTGATTTCTATGGCCCCAACCCCCGGGAATCCCCGGATTTCGGCCGCATTGTCAGTGACAGGCAGTTCCAGTGGGTGCAGAGGCTGCTGGGCAGCGGGCGCGTGGCCATCGGGGGACAGACGGACGAGGCCGAGCGCTACATCGGTGAGGCTTGGGGGTCACTCACACCTTGGTGAGCACATTGGGGGTTTTCAGGGGGTCTGCATACAGAGGGGAGGCTCTAGAGGGAAAAGAGTTATAGGGGTGCTTAAAAATGGGTCCTGAGGGGAGGTTTGATCTCCCACCTCTGTGCCCGGCTGACGCTGTCAGGTTTCCTCTCCACAGCTCCCACGGTGCTGGCAGATGTGCTGCCCTCGGACCCTGCCATGCAGGAGGAGGTCTTTGGGCCCATCCTGCCCATCGTCGTCATCGCCAACATGGATGAAGCCATTGACTTCATCAACGCACGGCCGCAGCCATTGGTTGTCTATGCCTTCTCCTGCGACAGCAAGGTGTGTCTGTGGGGCAGAAAAAGTGGGGAGGGAAGTCAGGCACCACCTCCACGAGCCCTAGGACGTGCTCTGAAGGGTCTTTAGAGCCAAAACCCTTTGGGAACATCTGATGGGCGAACTGGGTAATGTTTGCCATGTGCAAGCCTCTCATCTACCTTCTCTGCTCCCCCCAGATAGTGAACCAGGTGCTGGAGCGGACGAGCAGCGGAGGCTTCTGTGGCAATGACACCCTGATGCACCTGACACTGAGCTCTCTGCCCTTCGGAGGCACTGGTAGGTCCAAAATCCCCACTCCTGGCCATTGGGAGCCAGGTGTGATCCGTGGCCTGAGCCATGGTGAGGAATGTGAGTTTCTTCCTGCAGCCTGTGTGGTTCTCAGCTGGATCCCTTAATGTCCCTCAGGAGCCAGGTTGTACCTTCATTCCAACTTTTAGGACAAAATAGTAGTAGCAAAATGCTTATGAAAACCTGGAGAACCTCTTACAGGATCTTGGAGATCCTCCTCGGAGAAGAAGAAATATTTGGTCTCCAGAGGCACCAATTTCTGCTTTCTCAGGTGAAAAGTGAGGCTGCTTAGCCCTGGGCTCTGGATGCAGCAAGGTCCAGGGATACAGGAATACAGGAATGTTGTTTCCCAGAATACTTCCCCATGACTTGATCTCTTCCTAAAATATTTCTGGGATAAGTCCCCTCATTTGGTGCTACCCTTGCTCAGCATCTCTGTCAGGGCTGGCACCTGAGTCAGACATAATGAAACACCCAGACAATTAATTCCTCACCTGCCTGTGGCTCAGGGAACAATTTTTTGTACTTCCTATTCTGTAACTTATCTTAATTGGGAATGATTCAAACCAACCACCTTCAATTATTAGGTAAAGCCACTTTAGAGCAGGTGAAGGGGCTGAAGTCATTGGGGTGAGATGGCACCAAAGCTTCCACGGAAGTCACTGGGCTCTTAAGCTCCAGTTAAACCAGCCACAGGAACTGGGAAAACTGGTGTTGCCAATGTGGCTCCAGGCTTTTAGAGTTCCAGGAAGAAGGGCAAACAGCTCCAGCTGTGGGAAGATACAGTGGAGCATCATGGAGTGAAATCAAGGCTTGCAGAACCCAGCAAAGCTTGTATACATAAATGGAGGCGGGTAAATAGGAGACGCTGGGGCCTCCAAACTGCTGAGCTGGACTGAGGATCCATATACCTGGAGGAGGCACTGGAAAAATGGAATTCCTCCACCATGTCTGTGCTGCTCAGAAAATCCTGCAGGTGTCTTTTCCCCTCACTTTGATGCTTGGAAAAGGCATCATCAGGAGCAGAGTCCTGTCCTGAGCGTGGACCTGTCCTGTGTGTTCCAGGGAACAGCGGCCTGGGAAAATACCATGGGAAGTTCACTTTTGACACCTTCTGCCACCACCGGGGCTGCCTGCACCGGAGCATGGGGCTGGAGACGCTCAACAGCCCGCGCTACCCCCCCTACACCCAGCAGAAGCTGGGGCTCCTCACGACCACCTTCGAGGTGAAGCGCAGGGGCACCTGCACCCTGCTCTGAGCCTGCCACGCCCTGCTCTGAAGATGCCACGGAGTCAGTGGGAAGGACTGGGACTGTCCTGCTCCCCCTCTTCATCACGCTCCCCACCTCCTCACCGTGTCCTCTGCCTCGCTGGAGCATGTCAGACAGCCGGGATGGACATCCCCTCCTGCATCCTTGTGGCCTCTGCTCCAAACCGTTTTCCAGGACACAGCTGAAATGGCCAAAACCTTTTCTTAGTTCAAACTTCTCTTCCTGATGGAGAAGCGCTCCCATCAGTCCCACCTCCCCTCACATGGACTTTTCCTTTGGAATGTGCCTCTCCTTCCTCTGTTGCTCTTTGCTCTGTGTAACTCTGCCCGTAGTAAAGACTTTGCATCAAACTCTCTCCCAGCCTCTCTTTGTCCCTCCCTCCTCTGGTTTGGGGGGTGCTGGGAGGGTTGGGGGCGTTTCCCAAGAGGTTTTAGCTGGAATGGAGGTGTGGCTGGGCAGACAGCCAAGGGGAAGGACAGGCGGCCAAAAGGCAGGCAGGAAGCTGGCAGCCACCCTGTAGCTAGGAAGAGGGAAGCTGTGGTTGATAACCCCAGTGCAGCCAGCCCACACTGCACCTGTGGGAGCATGGAGACTGGAACTGTCTTCCCGCAGCTCCCTGGGAGTGAGGCCAAGAGAGCCCCTGAGGGCGATGGTGGGAACGGAAGTGTGGATGGTGATGCTGTGAGGTGAGTGTGGAAGGACAGAGGGGTGGCAGGAGGGGTCCCGGTGCTCCATCCTCTCCCTGGAGTGGCACTTGGGTGCTGGGATGGGGCGATGTGGAGCTCTGAGGAGCTGGAATGGGGCTGGCATCCCTCCAACACCCCTGTCCCCACCGCAGGAACCCCTTTGCAGGGCTGGTGAGCCACCTGCGGGCAGCCTGGCTCTCTGGGAAGACGCGGCCCCTGGAATACCGCGTGGCACAGCTGGAGGCTCTGGGACGCTTCCTGGATGACAAGAAGCAGCAGATCCTGGAGGCCACTGCATCTGACTTGGGCAAGGTGAGAGGGGACAGGAACAGGAGGACTTGGTGGCCAGAGGAGCTGGGGGGCTCCCACAGCCCAGCTGGGGGTGCTTTGTCCTCCTCTCATTGGGTTTTCCAGCCCTGCCTGGGCTCTGCTTCAGGCTCACAGCCTCTGGATTTGGGAGACTGAGATGAAGCATGTCACCATCACCGTACCCCAAAATCCATCCCTGCTCTGACATAGAGGGCACTGTGGGGAGCCCCTTGACATGGATAGCCATTCCCACACCCACCAGCCTCAGTTTCCCTCTTCCCTGAGCAAATTAATCCCAGATTTCTGTCCCTGCTCCCTGCCCTGGTCTTCCCATCTGATGTCACTCCCTTTCCTCCCCGGGGCTCACCCAGGCTGTGACTCCCTGAGCCCAGATCCCCTGGCTCTGCAGCCAGAGCCTTAATACTAATCAGGGGTCATTGTCTTCTCTTCTTCAACCTAGTCCCTTTGGACACCCTCCCTATTCTTCCCATTGTCTGGATGAACAGGATCTGCATGATTTTTCCTATTTTTAAGCAATCAGTGCTTAAAAATGTCATGTTGCAGACACAGGGGGTGCTCAATGCCCTTAGGGATTCGAATGAAGCATGGGATGGAGAGGGCTCCAGTCCCCAAATCCTGGGCAAAACACCATGGAGCATTGGGATAAGAGCTGCAGGATATGCAAAGGTCACATGTTGCATCCTTGGTGTCTGCAGCCACCCTTCGAAGCCGAATTATCTGAGATCCTCCTGTGCAAGAATGAGCTCCATGAGACCCTGAACAACCTGTCCCACTGGATGAAGGACGAGAAGGTGGACAGGACCCTGGTGAGAGGGAGGAGGAGGAGAGAGAGGATGGGAGGCAGAGCTGGGTGGGATGGTGGTGCAGGGTGGGACCTGATGTGGCAGATGTCCCACAGGTGATGCAGCTGGACTCTGCCTTCATCCGCAAGGACCCCTACGGGGTGGTGCTCATCATAGCACCCTGGAATTACCCCATCCACCTCTTCCTGGTGCCCCTCATTGGGGCCATCGCTGCCGGTGAGCCCAAACTTCCAGTCCCCTGGCCTGGAGGATCCCAGCAGTGCCAAGCACTGGCGAGGGCACTTTGTCCATAGAAGGGCTGGCTGTCACCGTGTCACAGCTCCAATATCCTGTCTGTCTTCCCCAGGGAACTGTGTCATTGTCAAACCCTCTGAGGTGTCCAAGAAGACAGAAAGACTCGTGGCAGAAGCGCTGCCCACCTATCTGGACAAGGTGGGACACACTCCCCATCCCTGTGGTATGGCTGGGGCAGTCCTGCACACACAGAGCTGTGCTCTGAGCCTGCCTCCCACACCATCTCTGGTTCCATGTACTGCCCAACTTCCTTCCTCCATGCCCAGCCAGTGTCCCAGCCTCCCAGGGTGCTGTTGGTGGGGGCAGATGGTGATAAGAGGGGATTTTTTCTCTTTCCTTGCAGGACTGCTTTGCTGTGGTGACCGGCGGCGTGCCGGAGACCACCAGGCTGCTGGAGAACAAGTTTGACTACATCTTCTTCACTGGTACGTCCCACGGGACAGAGCAGAGCCCTGCCTGGATGTGGTGCCAGGATGTGTTGGAGGATCCGGGATGTGTATCTGAGGTCTGGTGGGACGCAGTGCCAGACCCCAGAGCCGTGTGATGGCTGGTGGGATTCCCACCTCAATCCATGTTTTCCCTGCCCGCAGGCAGTCCCCCGGTGGGGCGGATCGTGATGAAAGCTGCTGCCAAGCACCTGACACCGGTGACGCTGGAGCTGGGGGGCAAGAACCCCTGCTATGTGTCCGACACCTGTGACGTGACCAACGTGGCGCGGCGCGTGGTCTGGGGCCGCTTCTTCAACGCGGGCCAGACCTGCATCGCGCCCGACTACCTGCTCTGCACCTTAGAGATGCAGGAGAAGCTGCTCCCGGCCCTGCAAAAGGCCATCACTGATTTCTATGGCCCCAACCCCCGGGAATCCCCGGATTTCGGCCGCATTGTCAGTGACAGGCAGTTCCAGTGGGTGCAGAGGCTGCTGGGCAGCGGGCGCGTGGCCATCGGGGGACAGACGGACGAGGCCGAGCGCTACATCGGTGAGGCTTGGGGGTCACTCACATCTTCATCCTTGCACGGAGCGCATTTCAGCTTTGGAGAAGATTATGAGGGGAACTGGGTGCTTGGCCAGGTGGGCTTTTGTACAGGAGGTGTGTCCTGGGGGGATCACCAAGGTGCCCTCTCCCACCTCTGTGCCCGGCTGACGCTGTCAGGTTTCCTCTCCACAGCTCCCACCGTGCTGGTGGATGTGCAGCCCTCGGATCCCATCATGCAGGAGGAGATCTTCGGGCCCATCCTGCCCATCGTCATCATCGCCAGCGTGGATGAAGCCATTGACTTCATCAACAGCAGGGAGCGGCCCTTGGCTGTCTACGCCTTCTCCTCAGATGACAAGGTAGAGCCAGGCCAGGACTACACCTGCCCTGTGCTCCTTGGCAGCTGTACCAGCCGTGTTTGTGCCCCAAGTGTTTCCCTTACAGCACACAGCCTCAGTTAGCGGGTATGGGTTGGGTTTGGAAGTAGTGGAATGGGGTGGGAAACCCATGTCCCATCTTCTTCCCGTCACTCCCAGGTGGTGAACCAGGTCCTGGCGCGGACGAGCAGTGGTGGCTTCTGTGCCAACGACACCCTGATGCATGTGACACTGCCCTCTCTGCCCTTTGGAGGCATTGGTAGGTACAAAATCCCCACTGCTGGCCATTGGGAGCCAGGAGTGATCCCACCCATGGTCAGGAAGGGTCTCAGGAGGAACTCCCAGCTCCAGAGAACTCAGTAGTCCTTAGGGAAGTTCTCCTCCAGAAGCCCTTTGCTTCTCCTTGGGCTCCCGGGCTTTGCTGGACACCTGTGGAGCACTCTGAGGTTCTTTCTTTCCATACTCCCTATCCCAAGCTCTGTGTTCCCTGGATCCATGGAAGTGCCTTGCTTACAACACAGGGAATCAGGGCTTGAAGCAGCCTGGTCTAGTGGAAGCTGTTCCTGCCCGTGGCAGGGGGTGGAACTGGATAATCTTTAAGGTCCTTTCCAACCCAAACTATTCTGGGATTCCATGATGGAGACATCTGCATTTCATGAGATGATCTCCACTACCAGCTCCTGTTTTCCATTCCAATTTTCCACCCTTTTTCCTCTCTTCCCACTCAGCTGGCCAGGAGGCATCAGTGACCCCCCTTTATCCTGGGGCTGCTGTGTGAGGCACTGCAGCCAGTGCATCACCCCAACCACAGTTACATTTTACCAGGCACCCTGACTGGCTCATGGCATTTTATCCCATCTGTTACCATGCCTGGCTTTCCTGTGCTTGTTCCTGGCCAGCCAGCTTCCACCTCCCAACATCCATCCTTGCCAAAGGCACCTCGGTCATTGTGCCTCTCCACCCCTGCAGTCTTGCCCCCTTGCAGCAGGTTGGATCCAGCATGGATGGGATCCAGGATGGATGGGATGTCTTTTGCAGGGTATTCCTGTGGTAGGGAAGCTCATCCGGTGGGAGCATCTTGCTGCTGCCATCACCTCATCAGTGACACTTCCAACTGCTAAACATGTTAATTGAAGTGGTAAAATCCACTGAGGAGAGAGTTTTTGGGAATCTCTCCACCTTCCAGCCTAACCTTCCCACTCCAAACACCCACTTGGGTGTCACCTCCGTGGTCCTCTTTGTGTCACATTCCTGGGACGCTCACCCACGGCCGGACGAGCCCGTGGCGCCGCTTTTACAGAGCTGGGAGCTTTATTTGGGCTCCCCTGCCCCCATCTGCCCCCAGAGGCAGCCAGCCAGCGGGATGCCGTGCTGTGTGTTCCAGGGCACAGCGGCCTGGGCACGCACCACGGGCGCTTCAGCTTCGACACCTTCTCCCACGCGCGGGGCTGCCTGAGGCGAGCGATGGGCCGGGAGCCGCTCAACGCGCCGCGCTACCCCCCGTACCGCCGGGAAAACTTCGGGATCGTCCGCGCCGCCTCGCGGGTGCCGCGCAAGGGCGGCTGCGCCCTGCTCTGAGCGCCGGAGCCCGCCCGCTAAGGCAGCTCCTGCTGCTGCTGCCGGTGCCCGGGCGCAATGAAAGGTGTTCCTGCACGTCCCGTGTGATTCCCTTCCACCTCCCTTTTGCACCCCCGCTCACCCCAAAAGTCCCTTGTCCCCCACGTCTCCCTCCATTCCGGTCCCACATCCATCTTTTCTGGCTGTTTGGGGCTTTATTTCCACGGGTACCACCAGAGCAGAGGGATCTCCTGTGCCCCGCATTGCGTACTCTGCCTGGAGAGGGTCCACCACAACTCCCTGATCCCAAATCCTTGAGCTGGGATGGTCCCAGTTTCCTTTGCCCCATGATATCAGTGTTCTTTGCCCCGTGTTCCCAGTTTCTCCTGCTCCATGATCCCAAGTTTCCTTTGCCCCGTGATGATCTCAGTGTCCTTTGCCCCATGTTCCCGTTCATCCTGCCCCATGATCCCAGCTTCCTTCGCTCCATGCTGCTCCATTGTGGGGGCTGGCTGTGCCGGTAACGGGACACCCATTCCTGCTGGGCTGTGGGCTGCCCTGCCTGAATCCCACGGGGATCCCTCCGAGGGAGCTGAGATAAAGACAGTTTACCAGGGAAGGGGAAACATCCCTGATGCCCGCCTCCAGGGACCGCGCCGGGCTGAGGGCTCGGGGCCAACGCTGAGCCCGCCGCAGGCGGAGCCGGGCTTTGCAGTGAGTCCAAGTGTCTGGACCGCTCCAGCTCCGAGACCTTCCGGCACCTGTGGCCGGAGCAGCTCCAGAAACCGGACCGAAAGCTCGGGAGCCCTGGAAGAGCGGGAGGCTCCGCGCCGCCACCGTAAAGACGCGCTTCGTCCACGAGCACGCGCTTCCGCTTCCGCCCGCCCCTCGGACACGCCCCACCAATCGCCGCGCAGCACGGCGGCGCTCCGCCCAATCAGCGACGCTTCCCTCTCTTTCTTCCCGCCCCTGCCGCCCTTTGCGGGACTCCCACCAATGAGAAGCGCGTCCGCCGCCGCTCGCCCCGCCCACGACGCGCCGCCGCACGCGCGTGCGCAGTGCCCGCGGGGGCGACCAGGGGTCAGGACGGCGCAGGGCCCGCGGGCAGGTGAGCAGGGAACGGCGGCCGGGGGGGCCCGGGGCGGCCCGGGGCTGGGGTCACCCCCGGGGACGTGCGGTGGCCGCCCGAATCCCGCCTGGGGCAGAGGGGGCGGCCCCGCCACTGCGCTACCCTCCGCTCCCGTGCTCTGCGGAGGGACGCACGCAGGCTGAGCGGGGCCGCGGGCGCCTCACGGGTGGGTGGGGGCCAAGCAAACCCCCTTGGGGTTTGGGCACGGGGGGACACGTGCGTCCCTTGGAGGGGGCAGGACATCAGGGCCCCTGGTTCCTTGGGGTGGGAGGGGACACCTGGGTGGCCCTGGATGGGGCGGGGGGCAGCAGGATGGCCGGGTCCCCTGGGGGAACAGCTGGGTCCCTTTTAGGGGGTGGACAGGATACTTGGGGGGTACACTTGGGTTTCTTAAGAGGGGGCTGCAGGGAGGGGTGGGATGCCTGGGTTGGCAGAGGAGACGGGATGCTTTAGGTCCCTAGGGGGGTCCCCTGTGGAGTGCTGGGACAGGGGTGCCTGGGGGTCCGGGTCTCTTTGGGTGGAGAGGTGGGGATCAGGGTGCCAGTGTCCCCCATGGGCAGTGGGGGGCCCCTGGCTGCCCCAGTCCCTTTCTGGTAGTTGCTGAGGTTCCCTCTGCACCCCAGGACCGGCCATGGCAGCGCTGCGACTGCTGTACCAGGCTGCCCGTGCAGGTGAGGCCGCCCGGGAGCCCCCAAACCTCCTGAACGCCCAAACCCCCCCAGGGCGACCCTGCTGACCCTGCTGTCCCTCCCCAGGCCCCCTGGCCCCACTGGGCTCCCTGCGCCCGCTCAGCACCAGCACCCCCAGGGACTGTTACAGTGAGTACAGCCGTGCCACCCCCCGCGGGGGCTCAGCCCCCTCGGCAGGGCCCTGCAGGGCGGGCTCAGCTCCCTCTTCCCGCAGAGTACGTCAACATGCGGGAGCCGGCCATGGACATGCGATCCATCACCGACCGCGCCGCCCAGACCCTGCTCTGGACCGAGCTCGTCCGCGGTGAGACCCCGCTCGCCCTCCTCGTTTGGGGCGACCCCCCCTTCCCAAATACATCCTCACCCCTCTGTCTGCCTCGCAGGCCTGGCCATGACCCTGAGCTACCTTTTCCGCGAGCCGGCCACCATCAATTACCCGTTTGAGAAGGGCCCGCTGAGCCCGCGGTTCCGCGGGGAGCACGCGCTGCGCCGCTACCCGTCCGGGGAGGAGCGCTGCATCGCCTGCAAGCTCTGCGAGGCCGTGTGCCCGGCACAGGTGAGACCCCTTCCTCCCCTTCCTCCTCCTCCTCGCGCGGGGCTCTGGCCGTGACTGTGTCCCTGTGCCAGGCCATCACCATCGAGGCCGAGCCCCGCGCCGACGGCAGCCGCCGCACCACGCGCTACGACATCGACATGACCAAGTGCATCTACTGCGGGTTCTGCCAGGAGGCCTGTCCCGTGGATGCCATCGTGGAGGTGAGCGGGGCCTGCGGGGGGCACTGCAGGCGCTCCCCTTTCCCGCCACGGTGACCCCAGGGGTGACCCCGTCCCGCCCCGGCAGGGCCCCAACTTCGAGTTCTCGACGGAGACGCACGAGGAGCTGCTCTACAACAAGGAGAAGCTGCTCAACAACGGCGACAAGTGGGAGGCCGAGATCGCAGCCAACATCCAGGCTGATTACCTGTACCGGTGACGGGCCCCTCCCGCCCCCCAAATAAAGTGTTTGGGGGTTCTCCCCCTCTGCTGGCACTGTGGGTGCCAGCCCCTTCCCATAACTCCGTGTCTTTTCCTTTCCAGTGCTGGGGTCAGACCCCCTGACCCTTGGGGGGACCCCACCCCTGGGTGTGTGGTTGTGTTTTGGGGAGGGGGATGCAGGTCCTGGGGGTGCTGGCACCAATTCTGGGGTAGGGGGTGGTTTGCAGGGAAAGGTGTGGGAGGTGGAGGGGGGCAGGCAAGGATGGAGGGGCAGTGCTGAGGGGATTTAGGAATCTGGGAAGGTCATTTCCAGTTCCTGAGGGCAGCCAGGGTTGGGGGGACCTGGTGATCCTGGCAAGGGGGGTTCCCAGTGGTGCTGGTGTGAGTGTCCCAGTGATGCCTGTGATCCGGGGGATCCCAGCAGAGGGGCCTGATGGTACCAGTGGTACTGGTATGGGTGTCCCAGTGATGCTGGTGTGTGGGTACCAGTTCGGGGTGCCTGGCACATCTGCAGACCTGCAGTGGTACCAGTGTGGGAGTCCCAGTGATCCCAGCAGGGAAATCCTAGTGCTACCAGTTGTTAGGACTTGTCCCTCGAAGGTGAGAGTAATGCAGGGGTGGAGTAGAGTGAAAGGACTCTTAATGACTGGTGTTTGTAAGTATGCATGTGTAGGGTTTATTTTAGAACAGTTGGATGGCTGTGGAAAGCAGGTATGTAGGCATTTTGGTCATTATTATCTACAGTAATATAGCAAGATGAAAGCATAAAAAAACGTTACTTTAAAGAAACATATAAGGGAGAAGAGAAAAAAAGAACTGAAAGATAAGGGTAAAAACCAAATCACCCCTGGCAAATCTTGTGACTTGATTGTTGCAATTTAATTGTCCCTTGGTCAAAGTGATGGTCTAGATCTGTCTGCAGTGGGGGAAGAAGCCCACAAAACACAAAGTCTGATGGGTTAAAATGAGATCAGGCTCGGGGGCAATGCCCAGATTTCAGTCCTCTGATGAAAGGCCTCAGAAATGAGTCTGGGAGCACTTCGGGGGTCTTCGATGCTTTTCAGCTGCCATGAGAGGCAGCGACGTTCAGCCTTCTTCCGGAGGGGAAGCATTAGAACCGAGCCAGTCGTGCAAGGGAGGGCCAGAGCATGACAACAACGACGACTGCGCCTTGCAGGATGCAGCAGTGATAATTCACCCCCTTTGTTTTATGCAGATTGGGCAGTAGCACCCCAAACCCCTTCTCGCCGGGGGTGGCAATCTGGCCCCAGTAAATCCCCCTGGCTCCTGCACAAGTGGGGGTTGTTTGGAGTAATCACCAACAGCGGTTTCACACCGGTGCGGGGGTCCTGCTGATTCTCGCGGGCGCTTTCCCGGCTCCGCCCGGCTGCAGGAAGCGTTTCCCATTTCCGTGCTCCTCGGGGGATGCTGCGGGGCTCCTGCCGCTCCCCAGCGGTGCGGGGTGCGCTGCGTCCCGGGGCGCGGCGGGGCCGGGCCGTCCCTCCCCGGGGCCGGGCTCTTCCAGGGGAAGAGGAAGTGCTGGATCCCGGCCGGGCGGGGGGCAGCGCGGCCGGCTGGCCCCGGGGCGGGGAATGCGCTGGCCCTGACTCAGAGGCAGCTGAATGGGGCGGGGGAAGGGGGGTTCCCAAAGTACTTTGCCAGCCCGGCGCTGGGCACGGCCGCGTGTGGCCGAGCGGGCCGGTTTGCCGCGGGGACAGCGCGGGGACAGCCCGGCTCCGCCGCCGAGACACCGCGGCGACCTCTGCCCTGTTGTCCCCCTTTCCCTCCCTCACGCCTGAGGAAGCTCTCAGTTTCCCATTCTCATCCCGCCCCGTTCCCTCCCGCTCCGTTCTGTGCCGTGCCCGGGTGTGTGCCCTGACCCGGGCCGGAGCGGGGGCCATGGGGTCCCTGTTCCGCAGCGAGGAGGTTTGCTTGGCCCAGCTCTTCCTGCAGTCGGCTTCTGCCTACAGCTGCATCAGCGAGCTGGGGGAGCGCGGGCTGCTGGAGTTCAGAGACGTGAGTAGGGGCTGGGGGGTGTCTGGGGTGCAGGGGGCTCGGCTGGGTGGGCGCTGGGTTTGGGGTGCTCCGTGTGCAGGGGGCTTGGTGTGGTCGGGCTCGGGGTGCGTGTTCTGGGGCGCCGTGGGAACAGGGAAGTTGGTCAGGCTGGGTTTGGTGCCCGGGCTGCCTGTTCCCCCGGGGTGCCGAACCCCCCAGTCCAGCGTGGGGCCATGCCTTGACTGTACCCCGCAGCTGAACCCCAAAGTGAGCCCCTTCCAGCGGCGCTTCGTGGGCGAGGTGCGGCGCTGCGAGGAGATGGAGAAAACCTTCAGTGAGTGCCGGGGGGCCGCGGGCTGGCTTTGTGGGGGGGACTCCCGGCTCGGCCCCTCCGTCTGAGCGTGCCCCCCTGTTCTCCAGCCTTCCTGCAGCAGGAGCTGCGGGCGGCGGGGCGGGTGCCGGGGCCGTGTCCCGAGAGCCCGCGGGCGCCGGCGGCGCGGGAAGCGCTGCGGGTGCAGGAGCAGTCGGAGCAGCTGGCGCAGGAGCTGCGGGAGGTCAGCCGCAACCGCGCGTCCCTGCGCGGCCGCCTGCGGGACCTGCGCCAGTACCTGCACGTGCTGCGCGAGGGACAGCGCTTCACCAGCCTGCCGGTGCGTCCGGGGCTCCCCGCCCTCCTGGGGCTGCTGCCTCCTGCCTCAGTTTCCCCCGGGCTCATCCCTCTGCTCCGCATCGCCGCAGGCCCCGCTGGGCTCCCCGCCGCGGCCACGGGCGCTCTCGGAGCGTGAGCCCCTGCTCGACCCCTCCCTGCACCGGCACCTGGAGCGCAAGATCAAGTGAGAGGGGGAAGGGTGTGGCGCGGGGCTGGAGAGGGGCTCTGGGGCTGCGGGGTGGCCGCATCTGCTGCTGTGTCTCTGCAGCTTCGTGGCCGGTGTCATCCACCCGTGGCGAGTGACCGCCTTCGAGCGGCTGCTGTGGCGCGCCTGCCGCGGGTACCTGGTGGCCTCCTTCGTGGAGATGCCCGAGCCAATGGAGGACCTGGCCACGGTGAGGCAGCGCCTGGGGCGGGATGGGACGGCTGTGGGGGCTGGGACAGCAGAGTGACACAGACTGTGCTGTCGCCAGGGCGAGAGCATCACCTGGGTCATCTTCCTCATCTCCTACTGGGGCGAGCAGATCGGGCAGAAGATCCGCAAGATCTCGGACTGGTGAGTGGCCATGTGTCACCCACAGGGAGGTTTATTTAGTAACACCCACTCTGGACCCTGCTGCGGGGCCGGGCCAGGCTGGGGGGTCCTGGCACCCTGACACAGCGATGTCCCTCTGTCCCAGCTTCCACTGCCAGGTGTACACATACCCGGAGAGTGAGGACAGCAGGACAGAGGCCATTTCCAGGCTGCATGGCCAGATCCAGGAGCTCAGTGTGGTGAGCTGGGTGCCATGAGGGGATGTGGGGGCCACGCTTGGATTGCCACCCCTGACACGGGTGCCCGCAGACGCTGGAGGAGACGGAGAAGTACCTGGCGGAGGTGCTGGACAAGGTGGCGCAGGTGCTGCCCACCTGGCGCGTGCAGGTGCAGAAGATGAAGGCCATCTACCTCGTCCTCAACCAGTGCAGCTTCGATGTCACCAAGAAGTGCCTCATCGCCGAGGTCTGGTGCCCCGTGCGGGACCTCACCCAAGTGCAGGATGCCCTGCGCCAGGGATCTGTGAGTGGCTCGGTGTCCCCATGTCCCTGCACCCGGGATTGTTCCGTGTATCCCTGTTCTTGTTCTGGGGTTGCTCAGTTGTCCTTGTGGCAGGAGTTGCTCTGTCTTCCCCTGTTCTTGTGCCTGGGTTTCTTGGTGTCCCATGTTTTCATGTCAAGGGTTTGTCGGTGTCCCCATGTTTCGGGCCAGGGGTTGTTCTGTGTCTCCATGTCCTTTTTGTGGGGTTGCTCAGTGTCCCCATGTCTTCATGCCAGAGGTTGCTTGGTGTCCCTGTGTCTCCTCATCATGGTGGAGCATGTGCCAGGCTGGGGGGGATTGTGGGGTGGGTGCCAGGAACAGACTCCAGCTGCTGGGCAAGGAGTGCTGGGGGCTGGTGCCAGGAAGGGGGTGTTGTGGGGTGGGTGCCAGGGGCAGGCTCTCCAGGAGGGTGCCGGGATCAGGTTCTGGGTGCTGTTCCCGCAGTATCAGAGTGGCTCCAGCGTGGAGTGCTTCGTGCAGCGCGTCCCCACCTCAGAGAGCCCTCCCACCCTCATCCGCACCAACAAGTTCACCGCCGGCTTCCAGAGCATTGTGGACGCCTATGGGGTGGCCAGTTACCAGGAGGTGAACCCCGGTAAGGCCCCCTGGCACCCCCTGAGGCCCGGAGCTGAGAGGGGACACCTTGTGTAACGCAGTCCGTGTGTCCCGCAGCACCCTACGCCATCATCACCTTCCCCTTCATCTTCGCCATCATGTTTGGGGACGTGGGGCATGGGCTGCTCATGTTCCTCTTTGCGCTCTGGATGGTGCTGTACGAGGACAGCCCCCGCCTGCGGCAGGGCACCAACGAGGTGGGGGCACGATGGAGGGCTGGGACGCAGTCGGGGACACGGGGTGGCACTGGGAATGTGGAGCGGGGTTGGAGGTGTGGGACATGGCTGGGGGTAGGGGATGGGTTTGGATGACACAGGGTGGGGCTGGTGGCTTGGGACAGGGTCAGTATGGGTCAGGGTGGTGTGTGGGACATGGGAGCTGTGTTTGCCCCCCTAGATCTGGCTGACATTCTTCGAGGGGCGCTACCTCATCTTGCTCATGGGTGCCTTCTCCATCTACACCGGCTTCATCTACAACGAGTGCTTCAGCAAAGCCACTGCCATCTTCCCCTCTGCCTGGAGCGTGGCCACCATGGCTAACCACTCCTCCTGGAGGTGGGGTCCCGCCCCCGTGCCCCCTGCCCGGGTCCCCATCCCCTGCTGGCACTGACACCCCTTGCTCTGCCCCCAGCTCTGCGTACCTCGCCACCCACCCCTCGCTCACCCTGGACCCCAATGTCACCGGTGTCTTCCGAGGGCCATATCCATTTGGGATTGACCCAGTGAGTGTCCCATGGGGGTGACAATGAGGTGGGACCCTCTTTGGGGTGGTGCAGAGTCTCACCCACCTTGTTTGTGGCAGATCTGGAGCTTGGCCACCAACCACCTCAACTTCCTGAACTCCTTCAAGATGAAGATGTCAGTGGTGCTGGGCATCGTGCACATGGGCTTCGGCGTCGTGTTGGGGGTCTTCAACCACGTGTGAGTCCTTGGGCTGCACCCACGGGCTCTGGTCATGCCAAGGGGACCGGGATTGGACTCACCTGGGTGGGATGGGGTGGCAGCTGGGGTCCTGTACCCCTGCAGCTCGGTGGGTGCTGAGGACGTGCAAGGGAGAGAAGGGACAGGCTGAGCGTAGCCAATGTCCTCCCACCCAGGCACTTCCAGCAGCGGCACCGGCTGGTCTTGGAGTTCCTCCCAGAGATGATTTTCCTCCTGGCTCTTTTTGGCTACCTGGTCTTCCTCATCTTCTACAAGTGGATCAAGTTCAGTGCCGCAGACTCCCTGGTGGCCCCCAGCATCCTCATCCACTTCATCGACATGTTCCTCTTCACCTCCAATGCTGAGAACCTCCCGCTCTACCCGGGGCAGGTACCACCCCACCGCCCTGGCAGGCACCTACTCCCCACCCTGGCTGGGAGAGCAGGTGTCAGGAGTGGGGATAGAGCCCAAAATGCTGTCCTTGTGCCCCAGGTGCCAGTGCAGATGGTGCTGGTGGTGCTGGCGCTGGCGTCGGTGCCTGTCCTGCTCCTGGGGACGCCGCTGTACCAGTGGTGCCGGCAGCGTGCCCCGAGGACGGTAAGGCCAGGGGCCATGGGGGGCTCCGTGGGGATCCCCAGGAGGTCTCACTGTCGGTGCTGTCCTGGTGCAGCCACTGGCCCCAGGGGAACAGGAGCCGCTGCTGGAGGGGCAGGAGGCTGGGAACTCTGTCAATGCCACCACGGCGGACGTGGAGAGCGGGGGGCACAGCCCTGACGCCAAGGTGAGGGGCATCCAGGCGGGCTTCGGTGGTGGGATGAGGGTGTCTGTGCCCCCTGCTGATGTGCCCTGTCCCTTCCCTCCCTGCAGCACTTGGACTTCGCTGAAGTCTTCATGCATCAGGCGATCCACACCATCGAGTACTGCCTGGGCTGCGTCTCCAACACCGCGTCCTACCTGCGCCTCTGGGCGCTCAGCCTGGCACACGCCCGTGAGTCCCCTCGGTCCCCCCTCGTCCCGCTCAGAGCCGGGCAGACCCTCACTCCCCCTCCTGCTCTTGTCCCTCCCATTCCCAGAGCTCTCGGAGGTGCTGTGGACCATGGTGATGAGGAATGGCTTCGTGGGGTTGAGCTACGTGGGCGGTGTGGTGCTGGTGCCCGTCTTCGCCGCCTTCGCCGTGCTGACCGTGGCCATCCTGCTGGTGATGGAGGGGCTCTCTGCCTTCCTCCATGCCCTGCGCCTGCATTGGTGAGCCCCCAAAGCTGATGGGTTACTGGGATATGTCTGGGGAGGGGGGTGATGGACCCCCCAGAGCGCTCCTCAACCCCCTCTCCTTGCCAGGGTGGAGTTCCAGAATAAGTTCTACGTGGGTGCTGGGTACAAGCTGTGCCCCTTCGCCTTCGCCCCGGACACCTGGGAATAGCCATGCCACAGGAATTCCAGGGGCTTGGAACATCGGCTGTGCCCCAAATTCCAGCCCCCCCCCCCAACCCGGGACCCCTGGAGCCTCCTTGGTGGTGAATAAAGCCATCCCTGTGGCTCCCTCCAGCTCTGCGTTGCCATTGCTTGGGTAGGAGGTGCAGGGGGTGCTTGGGGGTGCCCCATCACTGCTGGCCGTAGCCAAAGGTGGGGGCTGAGGTGGGGCCGTAGGAGCTGAGCTGGGGGAAGGCAGGCAGAGGGTAGGGCAGGCTGCGGGGTTTGGCTCCCACATAGACCCCAGGGGGGCAGGTGAGGGGCTGGAAGGTGGGTGCAGGGAGCTCGGGGAAACTGGGGGGTGCTGCTGGCTGTTGGGGGGCAGCAGCCAGAGCCCCATGGCTGCGAGGAGCTCCTGCAGGGGGCAGAGGCAGCAGCAGGGGCTCAGCCCCCCCCGCAGCCCCCCTACCTTTTTCCTGCTTCTCGGGGCGGGGGGCCAGCGGGGCGGCCCGGGCGCGGGGCATCGCCCCCAGCAGGGACCCTGCTGGCACCCCGCACCTGCAAGAGACGTGGGGTGGGGGCTCAGGGAGGTGCCTCGACACCCTTCCCATGGTGTGGGGGTAACATCCAGGCGTGTGCCTTACCATGGCTCGGGGTCGCCGTCCCGAAATCCCTTGGCAAAGGGGTTGCTGGCGATCTTCAGCTGGGTGATCTGCGGAGGGGAGCGGGGTCAGGGAGTGCCTGGCAGGGTGCCCCGGTTTCCGTCTGGCTGGTGCTCACCCGGTGGTTCTGGTAGGCTGTCACTGCCATGAACTGGGTCTCGGGGAAACTGAAGGACTTGAAGTTCTGGTGGGCGAAGCGCTCGCTGTCGCGCCGCGGGTCCACAAACACGACGTGGAAGCGGGGCTGGTAGCGGTGCATGGAGTTGAGGATGATCTGGGGGTGGGAAAGAGGAGGTGGCAGGACCCCCCCCGGGCAGGGATGCTCTGTGTCTCCCCCATCACCCAGCCCACAGCCGGGTCCTCACGTGGCCGTTGTCGTCCAGGAGGTTGTTGGTCAGCTTGAGCTTGTCGAAGGACACGATCTGCCGCATCCACTGGGCGCCCTTGGCTGGGGAGTCGGGGTGGAAGTGGACGCGGCCAGGAGCCGCCGGCTCGGCCCGGCCCGCCGCCAGCCAGGAGGAGCTGTGGAAGGCATATCTGCAGGGCAGGGAGGGGCTCAGCACCCCCAGCTCTGGTCCCCTGCCCCCACTGCCCCATCCCCACCTGTATCGCTTGTCGTCCAGCGGGATGAAATCCATGAGCAGGACGTAGTCGGCCAACGGATCCAACCCCGAAAGCTTCACCTGAAAGGTGGGGAACATCCTCCTGCGCAGAGAGGGGGGTGGGAAGGGGGTGCCCCCCCCACCTTTGCAGCCCCCCAGGCCACTCCGGTTCCCACCTGCCTGCCTTGGTGACGATCATCTCGGTGCCCAGGCGGTTGAACTCCTCCCAGAGGCTGCCCATCTCCAGCCGTGCCGCGGCGTGGCACACGTGCCGGTTCTTGCCGCTGGCCCCCGGCCCCTCGCCAGCCCACCCGAGGCCAGGGGTGCACGGAGACCCCTCACCCGGGCCCCCCAGGAAGGCTGCAGAGGGTTGAAGGGATGCTGGTCAGGGGGAGCAGACCCCGTGCAGGGCCACCCCATCACACCCTCCTCCATGGAGATGGTGGCAGATCAGGGTCTCCTGTCCCCCCACCACAGTGGGGTTTTATCCCCATCCCCACCCCAAAATCCCACAGGACCCCACCACTGGGTGCAGGGGTGTTGTCACGGGTGGGTTTTACCTGCCATGGGTGTGGTGGGAGGACAGGAGGTGTCCGTGGCTCCGTTCCCCGGCATGGTGGCAGTGGGACCCTGCCAAAGCCCCCTCCCAGTGCAGCGCCGGCTCTGCAGCGTCCCTGCAGCCTGCCGGGGGTTTTATGCCCCAGCTCGGGGATGGAGAGGCGGGGGCTGGAGCCGAGGTGGTCCTTGGGGGCTGGAGCACGGCCCCCTTCCCCAGCCTGCCTTCGCGCCTTGACGCGGTGATGATGGACGGGAGGCGAGCGGTGGCACTGCTGGGACCACCACCAGTCCCCAAACAGGGCTTGGGATGCCCTGGGCTGGGCAGGGACATCTTTCTGGGGGTCTTCTTGTCCCTTCATATCACAGATCTGAGCGGGGGGAGGTGGGGGCTCCCACAGGCAAAGCCCCTCTCGGAACACGGCCGTCACCACCTGATATTGAAAACCACGGTGAGGTGTTGAGGGACTGGCAAAGATCCACTGCTCCAGCAGAGCCTCTGCAGCTCCGGAGGCAGGAACGAGCTGCCCCCTCCTGAAACTCCCCCCAAGGTGGGTCCAGTCTCTGCCCTGGTGCCTGGGAGCCCCTGTGCCCCTCGTTGCAGTGACAGCAGGAGATGGATGGGGATAAGCAGGCGCCGCAGGGCTGAGGGCTCTTTGTGGGAGGTGACGGACACCAGGATGGGGCATTCACCAGGAAAAGCAGAGGGGTTACTCCAGAGCCCCCCTGCTCCCCTTCAAACTGCACTGGGGCCATGGACACTGTCTCATAGCTCACCATGGAGTGTATTCTACAGGGATGAGCGATGCTGAGGCTCTGGGAGAGAGTCTGGAGGACCAGGAGATGTCCTTGTGGGGACGCTGATGGCTTTTCTGTTGGTGTCCCAGTGACGGCAGCACTGGCTTGAACTCCCTCCCTGCTTTGCACAGGGCTGGACATTTTCTCCAGCTGGGCTCAGCCTTCTGTCCAGCCTCGGGTTTGGCACTTGAAGATTGTAACACAGAGGGGACCGCGTGTCCCCGGGCACTGTGGGGCAGCTCCTGCGTTTGGAACCAGGGCCAGGACTGATGTGAAGCAGGGAGGAGCCCCCTCCCCAGTTCCCTGTGTCCCCCACACGTGTCCGTGCCCCGTGGGGCCGGCTCAGCCCCATCCATCTCCTGCTGTCAGCCGGCCTCGGCTGCGGGGCGGCGTCCAGCCGGATGAGGAGGTGTGAGAGAGGCAGAGCTGACAGCGGGCAGGAGCACGGAGGGGGCTCAGCCCCGGGCAGGATCGCTCCTGCCAAGGCTCATCCACAGCTCCTGCGTGGAACTGGATGAGCTTTAAGGTCCTTTCCAATCCGAGCTGTTCCAGGATTCTCTGGCTGGTGAAGATGACTGCAGGTGGGTCTCCTGAATCCGTGTTGAAGCACGTGGTACAAAATGGCTTTTCAAAATGAGCTTTTTTGGTCCCAAATGGGCAAACAGCAGCCAGAAAAAACTTAAAAAAAGATTCACTGTTTTCCTTTCTCACAGGGAATAACTGCCCCAGACAGCAGGACAGGCTGGACAGAGCTGTGGAGGTTGTGGTGGCCACCAAGATGGAGCAGGAGGCGAGCGTTAGCACACAGTCAGATGACTCCCTGCAATGAGCCTCTGACTCAGCTGGAATGGGGAAGTGAAAGCTGCTTGTGGGGGCAGTGAGGGGAGAAGAGGAACTGGCCCTGTTTCACAGGGCGCAGTGAGCAGCCGGCACGGCGGGGTCAAGAGGGAAGTGAGAAGGCAGGAAGTGACAACACTCATTTCTGAACCAGAAACACACCACACCTGTTAGGTAAGAGTGGGCAGCTCTTGAGCAGCAGTTGGCTCTTCATTTATTTTATTTATTAATTCTTAATTTTTTTCTTGAATTTTTAAAACCCTGGTTGAGAGAAGAGGAAGAGAATTTTAGCAGGTGAAGTTATACCCTGGAAGTGTCCAAGGCTGCATTGGCCAGAGCTTGGAGCACCCTGGTCTAGTAAAAAGTGTCCATGCCCATGGCAGGAGAGCTGGATGGTCTTTAAGATCCCTTCCAATCCAAACAATTCCAGGTTCCATTTGCTCTAGGGAATGTGTAGTACAAAAGAAAATGGATAATTGCTAAGATAAAGCAATAATTTCCTTTAATATGTCCATTACTTAATGTATTTTCCTCTCCCCTGTATAATGGATAAAATCTATATTATACAAATATAATTACGTATAATTAAAAGGTAATATAGAAATAGAGAGGAATTTAAAAAAATCTTTCAAACTCAAGTCTCCAACAAACCAGTTTGATTTTGTTTCGCTCCTGCTGACACCCCTGTGCACATGAGTGGCTTCGCTCCGTCTCTGTGAGCATCCTTTCCAATGTGCCGTGGGGATCCCAGCCCTAAAACCCCAGGATGGATCCCACGGCCTCTGGGGAAGGCTCATTCTGTTTTCAGGTGCTTCAGAGACCCTTTGGCAACTGCTCATGTGGGGAAGGTGTAAAAGTTAAAATCTTCCAGCCATGTTAGAGAGTGGAACAGGAAAAACTACCTGGTTCTGGAGAGACTGATGGGGCTTGGGGACTTCAGCTCAAGGACCTGTGAGTATCTTCACTCAAGCTGCCATTAACTAAAAGGTGGAACTTCAGGTGGTTCTGGGACAATTTTTTGCTGGATGGGAATGGTAAATCCCTCATAAATTGCATTAGGAGGGGGGTGCTTTTCCCTTGAAGCTGCACATGGATGAACTTGCAATCAGGAATGCTGGTCTCATTTTAATTGACCCAAATTGATTTGAAATCACTTCAACGGTGTCTGTTTTCAATTTGATGCAACAGTAATTAACGTGGAAAATTAAGGCATTGTTGTTATGTTATGGATGTTGTTGTATTTGTCATTGTGTTTAATTGTCCCTAAATAAGAACATCTCCCTCCCCCCCTGCAAAATGGCATCCCTTCCAGGGACAAATGGCAGTGTCCAAGGCCTGGCTGGATGGGGCTTGGAGCAGCCTGGGATAGTGGAAGGTCCTGCCCATGGCAGGGGTGGAACGAGAGCAGCTTTAGATCCTCTCCAACCCACCCCATTCCAGGATTCCATAATTCTGTGCGCACCCGGCTCCTTCCATGCCTCCAAACCTCCTGGTGTTGTCTCTCACCCTCTCCTCTCCAGTGTGTCTCTTTCCACCCAGGCAAGGCTGATTTTCCACCCCAGCTGCAGTTTTCTGATTATTCCTGCTTCCAGGCTTCAGGACTTGAGTCATCTCAGCCCAAGACTCATCCTCTCTCCTTGCAGGCTCTGAATGAGTCACCACAGGGTCCCCTGATGGAGACAGCAATGTGTCTGGGGGCTTTGACTCATCTGATCTATTTGAAACATTTTTTGTGGAAAAATGGCATGGATTTCTCCACTTGCTGCCTGGTGGTGAAGGGTGGCGGGGTGACACAGTCACGTGGGAGATGTGGGATTTATTCAGAGCAGGCACACTCTGAGCACAGGAGTCAGTTTGAGCCTCAAGGGCTTAAATTCAGACTACAATCATCACCAGGAAGTGTAAAAATAATTTGCAGCAGGAGAGTTCCTGAAGGGTTTTCCCTTTATCCCAGTTTGCAGTTGGAACACTTGTCCAAATCCTGGGCTGTCTCCCAGCTCCTGGATCTTGATTTCCTGCATCAATTCTTTTTGATTCCATGTGATGCCTATAGATCAGTTACATATTCCAAGAGATAAATTTGCAGATATACAATTATGTATTTGTAATAAAAATGATTTATATATTAAGTTATATATAAATATTTTATTTAGATGTTAAAATTAATTAATATATTGAAGTTATATTCTATAAGTTTAATAATATGTAAAATAATAACAATTATATATGTTATATATGTATATAGAAGTAGGAAATCAATCCTCAAGTTTCCATTTAACTTTTTGAAACAGATTGAATTTATTTAACTAATTGTGTTTATTTGTCAGTGCAGTCCCCTCTCAAGGAGCTGCTTCCAAAGTAACCAGTTCCCAAACCATTCCAGGATTCTGTGTGGGTCTCACTGGGACACGGCACATCCTCTTCTGGGCTACCTCGAGCATGTTGATCCATCTAATTCTACCTGAGATGTCACAGGACATGAAAACCTGCTCCAGCTGCACCTGGGAGGAAAGGGGAGCCAAAATCTTCCTCCAGGTACGTTTGTGTTGGGTACAGGGAAGAGATCCTTCCCTGGGAGGGTGGTGGCACAGGGTGCCCGGAGCAGCTGTGGCTGCCCTGGATCCCTGGCAGTGCCCAAGGCCAGGGGGCCAGGCTGATCCTGGTGAATCCCTGTACAGCCTGCTGGAAGGTCCTCTGCTGCCCTGCACAAGGATCTTGTGGAATTTCAGTAGGAAAGCAGGTGGCACAGTGGAGATCCTCACCCCAGAGGACAGGGATGAGTATCCCACACCGAGCACAGACCAGGCACCATCCTCCCAGCAGGGATGAAATCCAGTTCCTGCTTTTTCACTGAATTCATTTCCATTCTGTGTCTCGTATCCTCCCACGAAGCAAGGGTTTGCTGAGGAAGAAGAAGCGAGGCTGAACTTGGATTAATCAAAACATTGCAGTCAGTTCTCTGCCAGGGGCAGATTCCCAGATCCAGGCAGGTGGAGGCTGCCCCGGGGAGGGCTCAGCCCCCAGACCGCTCGATTTTCATTATCTGTGACATCTCCAGCACCGTCCCGGCGTCCCCTTGCCTCCGGCATCTCCTCGTGGGTGATGAAAAGCAGCTCTAAATCCTCATTAGAGCGCCAGGAGAGCAGACACAGGGCTTCAGGGACATCTGAAACGGGCTGTCAGGTTCTGGGGATGAGACTCAGCCCTTCAGCCAAGCTTTATCCAATAATGATGATTTTTAAGTTTGGATCTATTTGTCAGGAGCCTGTGGTGCCTACCCTGGTTTTACTCTCTGGTGTAATTCTGTCAAGCCATGATTAATGTTATCCGGGAGAAAAATCAATGTTTGTTTATTCTATCTGTCGCAGAGTGGGATTTTAGGAGCTGTTGATCTCTCCCTGGTGAGCAGCAAGACGCAGCCTGAA